CTGAAGTCTCACAGCAATCCTGTGAGATCTGTTGTCTCCATTTCATAGATGAGCAAACTGAGGCACAGAGAGGTTACAGAACTTCCCCGAGATAACACAAGTGGAAGGGGTGGGATATAAACTTAGGCAGCTACAGCTCACACTCTCGAATACTGTCCTACACGTTACTTAACTGTGAGGAGTCTCAGCCTCTCAACTATAATGTAGGGCCGACGGTAACACTACCTGCAGGATTGCTGTGTGGATGGAGCATGATGGTTCAGGTAAATAACCAGCCCAGCACAGCACTGGCCCCACCAGGAGAGGTTCAATATGTGACTATTATGTCTTTAATTATTTAAATTTTTTCTGTTAACTTTATGAACCAAAACCCCAAACCTGAGGGGTAATTTGTTTGTTTTTTTTTTTAAGTTAAACACTAGCCCTAACATGGGGCTCAAACTTAGCACTCTGAGATCAAGAGTCACATGTTCCACCAAGTGAGCTACCCAGGTGCTCCTGGGGTACTTTATTTTTATTATTTTGTTAAATGTTTAAGAAGGATATAAATTTTAAGTAGGCTTATCTTTATATAAATCAATGAGAGCATAATACTGAAACCAGGATGAGACAGTAACCAGTTTCTTTTCCCTCCTGGCTGAGAATCACCTCAATTCCCAGAAAAGGGAAGTTGGGTGAAATAACTGCTTCAGATAACAAAGCTCACAGTTTAGGAAGGCCTGCAAGAAGGAATGCGGAAGAACCTCTGACTAGCACTGGAGAGGAGAAACAAACACTCAGGCCCGCATCAAATTACAATCAAAGGATGAAAATTACTTCTAGCCACAAATGATCAAACATCAGGTCCAGCTCCTTTACACACGATCCCAAATTTGTCCAACCTTCAAAGTTGGATGGCTTGATGTATGCTCTGCATTAGCAGATGAGAGGTGATGGCTCAGGGAAGTCAGAACTGCCCTGAAGTCCCACCGCCAGAGGAGCTAAGCCAGGATCCGACCCCAAAGTCCTCCGAAACCCTGTGTTCCCTCAGCATTCCAGCTGCTCCCCCTGCCCGGAATGATACTCTCTCCGCTAACACTGCAGGTTATTTTACTAATTCAGACCTCAGCTCTTCTCTGCAGCCTTTCCTGGTTCCTGTCCCTCTGCGGCCAAGCTGATGGCTGGGTCGTTGGTGGTCCCCGGGTATTCTGTTAGTAACTTGATGACAGCACTCATGTGGCATTTAGTTATTCATGTCTTCTCCACCAGACAATAAAAGCAAACACTGGGTTTTACTCTTTTATGTGCCTCTAATGCCTGGTACACAGCAGTTTATCAACATTTACTGAATTAATCAATCTCATAAGTCACCCAGTTCAGGGTGCCTGGGTGGCTCAGTCGTTAAACGTCTGCCTTCGGCTCAGGTCATGATCCCAGGGTCCTGGGATGGAGTCCCACATCGGGCTCCCTGCTCTGCGGGAAGCCTGCTTCTCCCTCTCCCACTCCCCCTGCTTGTGTTCCTGCTCTTGCTATGTCTCTGTCCAAAAAAATAAATAAAATCTTAAAAAAAAAAAAAAAAATCACCCAGTTCAATATTCCCCCTAAAGTTTATATCCTCTCATGTTATCTTTGCAAGTGCTTATTCCAGTTTAAGGTAGTTTAAGGTAGAAGCCACATGGTGCCTTCTCCAGGTCTCACACCCCAAGTCTAGTTTTTTAACCCACTGCTAACATCTGCCTACCGTCTTGGTCGCTCTCTTTGGAATTCTCTTTTATTTATCCCTGTCCTTCCAAAAGTGTAGTATCTGGCATACAAGGCAATGGGTGACAGCAGTAAGGTTTTGAAGTCTGCGAGTAGAACCAAAAGCATTAGCCTTAAAAATTCCTAAAGAAAGGACCAGGTAGAATAACTGGGTATGCCCTGGACAGATAATCTCCCCCTGCAATGGAGCCGGTAACTGTAGAGGATCAGCTAGACGAATGGGGCCTGTACCTAGGGTCCATGTTGTAGGGAAAAATATGTTTTCCCAAAGCAGAATTCCGTTTGAAAGCACACGGGAGCTAAATCTGATGAGGGAACAGCAGGTAAGGTCTCCTCACTCTCATGATCATGAGGCAAACACTGCATGGGAACCACCCACATGATAAATTTTGTGTGCATGTGTGTATGTGTATGTGATGCAACCTCTTGAAAGACAAGAAAACAGGGGCGCCTGGGTGGCTCAGATGGTTAAGCATCTGCCTTCGGCTCGGGTCATGATCTCAGTGTCCTGGGATCAAGCCCTGCGTCGGCCTCCCTGCTCAGGGGGAGCCTGCTTCTCCCCCTCCCCTTCCCCCTGCTTCTGTTCCCTCTCTTGCTGTGTCTGTCAAATAAATAAATAAAATCTTAAAAAAAACCAAACAAACAGGAAAACATAACAGAATCTCTTAGTTCACACGCCCATCCATTTACCCCCGTTTCGTGTGTCTCCTCTCCTTTTTCCTCGCGTCTAGTCGACATGCTCCTTTATTTTTTTGTTAACTTTTATAATGAAATTTAACTTCAGAAGTTTTTAACCCAGAGTTCAGCATGTCTGAAATGACATCAACAGTTTGCATACACACTGGTATGTGCACGGTTCTAAGCAGAGTATCCAGGTTACTTTTCCAAAGGGGTCCGAGGTGCAAAAACTCTATGAACGACTGTCTTAGTGTTTACCGCATAAAGGGCAAATAGAGCTTTGAATCTTTGTTAGGAGAGCTGTTTTATCTACTTAACAAATAGTAAAATCTAAAACAAAGAAACAAAGCTGTAATCTATGGAGTTAACTCATCTCCTCTGAAAAAAGTACTGGGAGTTAGAGCAAAACTTCATAATCCATGGCAGATCCTAATGCACCTTTAAAGAGAAAGCTAAAAGGCTCTTAAAAATTACTTCTCAATTCCTCTTTTTAAAGATCTTTAATCTTGTGCTCATTTTGAAAGGTTTCATTGTTCTGGAAGAGCATAACAGGCACTTGAAGAAACTGGGTGGTTTCGGAATGGGGAAGAGAAAGAATTATAGAACCATTTAACAGAACACGACAATGACTTGGGCCATCCTGAAATCATCTCACAGATCAGAATACACTGGTCTACAATTTGGGGAAAGGGGGCATAAACAGCCAATTCTAGAGCAGCCGGAAAGAGCATTGTTTCTGGATGCCTGGAGTACCACCAGGAGGTGGGATACCGTCTTTCACGTCCAGGCCCCACAGCATGTGTGACAATGTCTTTGGATGGTCAAGTCCCCAGAAGACAAGAAAACGACCTCTGTGGAGCAAGGAGTCCTTTAACACTTCAAACCTTGGGACAGGTTACGTCCACCTTTTCTTTGTTAAACACTGAAAAGAAAGGTTGTTTTTCCCTTCAAATGATAAAACCCATGTTATCTTAAAAGGCGAAGACACGAACTTCTATGAAGCCAGGCCTAAGATACTCTTGTGTATGACAATGAGAAAGCTAACACGTTAGGATGTTGAGTATATAAGGAGGCCTCATCAGTGAAAACCGTGCGTGAGAGCCAACTCGAAGGTGCTGCAAGATGAGCTGTAGGGCCAAAGAGGCAACTGCTCACCGAGTATCTCCATTCCCTTTGGAAGCTGTGAATCACCTGAGCTTCGGGTCAACGGGATGAAACACAATGCACAACAGCCTGATTCTAAGAGACACAACCCCTTGCCCCCCAAACCAAGGTTTTCAGTGCTTTGCTAAAAGGCTGGTAAAAATTCCAACGAGATCTAAGCCTCGTGAAGATGGTAATACATACCCAGGATGTGGGAGGCACTGCAGACGTGGCCACTGGTCACGCTGGGCAGCTGAGTGGCTGAGACTGCCCCGAGCAGCCAGAGGTCTTCTTTTATAGTCTTCCCCTGTTTCTTTCAGTTTCTTTTTTAGAAAAAGGTCTTCTCTCCTTTTTCCTGTTTACCCTACTCTTCAGCTATTTGCACGTAGGGATTTTTTATAAATTACTTAGTTTCTCAGAAACACTTGGGATTCTTGACCAACCTCCTTGGTGAGGCTGTCCAATCAGGGGTGGGCTGGGTGGGGGTGTGGGGGGGACGGGTGGAGACCGAGCCATTAGCCGGTCGTTGCATCAGCCGCCCCATACTCCAGATTGGCCTCCATGTAACCTCTCCACCCTCTTCCCGTCCCCCACCCTCTGCATTAGTGTGAGTAACTGTTTATGTGTAGTCGTGGGAAGGCGGAAAGGCGGCTGTGAACTCCCCGCAGCTGCTCACCGAGGCAGCGCAATGCAGTGGAAAGAGCAGGAGCTCTGGGGTCGGACGGACCTAGCTTTCAATCCCAGCTTGGGCGCTTTCTCGTGTCAAGACCTTGGGCAAGTGCCATCACCTCTCTGCCTCATCCTCAGGTTCCTCATCTGCGAAATGGGCATAAAGAAGCCTCCTGACTTTACCGCGGAGGGAACTGAGTGCGATACTATAGGCAAAGCCCCCAGCACGTGGCACACACTCGTTCAAAGTGGGGGCCTCTCGCCTTGGGGGAGGGGAAGGAGGAGGGGACGAGGAAGGGTCGGTGCCGGCGGGAGTGGGCGACAGACGGGGACGCGGGCGCTCGGAGGAGGGGGGCGAGGGGCGCCGTGACAGCCTCCACGCCCCTCGTGGTGCCAGAACCCGGCGGGCAGCGAGCCGGGCTCTGAGGAGGATACTCCGGGCCCTCGCCTGGAGGCGGCGGCGGAAGAGCCAGGTCGTCCGGCGCCGCCCCGGCCTCCCGCCCTCCCTCATCCCCCCACTTACCGGCCCAGCCGGGCCCTTCCGCGCCGCCGGCTCAGCTACGGGCGGCCTCCTGGACGTCCGTGGAAACTCCCTCCGGCCGGAACAACTTCCGGCCCGGCTACCCCATCATTGGCTGTTCGCGTGGGGGCGGGCCGGAGGCCGCGGATGATTGGTTGGAGGCCCCGGAACCAGCGGAACGCACCCGGGGTGCGGGGTGCGGACCGGACGGCCTCCGGCAGGACGGAGCGCTTCCGGTGCGTGTGGTGAGCGGCGGGCCCGTGGGCGGGAGGGGGCTGAGACCGGGCGGCGGCGGCGGCGGCGGGGCGGCCCGAGCGCTCGGCGCCCGTCAGCGCGGGCCCTTCACCGTCCTTCGCCCGTCCTTCATCGCTGCTGCCTTCCGGACGCGCCGAGCTCTGGGCCCGCCCTACCTGCCGCTCTTGACAGCTCGGCCAACTTCTCTTCATCCTTCAAAACCCATCCCTGGTCGCCTCTTCTTGGTTGCCTTCCTCAGTCTGCGGTCTCCGGCGCAGGGTCCGTGTTTTGCGTTTAATCTCTGTACACACCAGACCCAACACGAGGCTTGGCACGGAGTAGGTAATCAGGCCGTGTTTGCTGAAGGAGAATATTCCGTTTCTTTTACTTTCCGGGTGCCCCCCCCCCCCCGGCCCAGGCTGCGTTTCACACGTATTTCTAGACGCTGGGGCTCAAACAGTGAACGAAACACGGCAAGTCCCGTCGTCGTGGCGCTGGCTGCTGGTGACTCGCCGCGCCGCTCCCCCGTTCCGCGCTCGTGTCTGCGGCGCCCTTACCTCCTCCTCTTGGTTGGGTCCCCGCCCCCACCATGAGGACTTTCCCTTCCCCCCCATTTGCTTTAGAAACATGAAAGGCAGCAAACACTTTCCCCCTGCAGTTTCCGTTGTTCCCGGGTGCTCCCGCTCTCTCCGTCTTTTGCCCGTTTTCCTCGAGTCACCCTTGCCGCCGCCTCTCTGGCCCCTTTTGATCGGTTTTGTCGGCTTCCTCCTCCAGGGCCTCTCACCCCCTCTGCTCCCTCCCCTCCTCCCCAGCGGTGCCCGCAGGTCCCTGTGAAACTGCAGCCAAGCTGACTGCCACCTCTCCTCGCCTCTGCTTTACTTTTCTCCGTGGGACGTCTTACTCCCTGACGCCCTGTGTTTCACTCGACTGTGGTCTGTCCCTCCCAGCGCATGTGAGCGTGGTGAACGCAGGCCATCGCTGACCGTGGGGCTTGCTGCGGTGTTCCTGGCGCCTGCTGTGGGGCGTGGTGAGTAGCCCATCAGTGCTGAATAATAATAATTTATCTTATTTACTTATTTGAGAGAGAGAGAGGGAGGGAGAGGATCTCAAGCAGACTCCGCGCTGAACGCGGAGCCTGACGCAGGGCTCGATTTCACAGCCCTGAGGTCAGGACCCGAGCCGAAATCAAGTCAGACGCTTAACTGACTGAGCCACCGAGGCACCCCACCGTAGACCTCTTTTTAAATTCTGGCCATTGGCCTCTCTTTTGAGTCAAGTGCTGCAGACAACTAGGTGGGTGGGGATCCATCTTAATGGCTGAGCACGAACAGGCACCCTGGTGGGGGGAACCTGGTGGGTTCCCCGTGACAGGAAGGAATGGCATGCTGTGGGGTGTGGTGCTGTGTACGGGAGTTGAGACAGGTGAGATGTCTGAGCAGGACCAGGCTAAGTATTTAGAGAACAGAAATGCCACACTGTTGGGCGCCTGGGTGGCTCAGATGGTTAAGCGTCTGCCTTCGGCTCAGGTCATGATCTCAGGGTCCTGGGATCGAGCCCCGCATCGGGCTCCCTGCTCCTTGGGAGCCTGCTTCTCCCTCTGCCTCTCTCTCTGTCTCTCATGAATAAATAAATAAAATCTTTAAAAAAAAAAAAAAAAGAAATGCCACACTGTTTGCAGAGCACAGTCCGCTCGTTTATAATTAGTCCATTATATAAGCTTTATTTAGAGGATGGCTTTGTGTATGGAAGGTGTTACCTGCCTAGATTAGGCTGCGGGGGAGGGGTGGTGGTGGGATTTTTGGAGGAGGGAGACTACATTTGTTGAATGATGACGTAACGTGTTAAGCAATGGAGCCCTTCAGGCGATGGGTGCCCTTTGCGGGAAAGGTGTGGACGGGGTGAGGCGGTTGGATTCCAGGGGATGCGAAACCCACTCTCTAGGGAAAGAGCTGGGTGATAGGCTGAGTGGCTTAACAAGGGACCCAGAGGGAGTCTCTGGTGCTGACCTGACCCCACATACATGGAGGAGGGGCTCTGTGGTACGCTAAGGTAGGGCGCCTGGGGCATCTCAGAACTTGGTGTGTGGCTATTAGTGCTGCTCCAGCACGCCCTCTGCTGCCCGGGATGTGCTGGGCATCCTCGTTTTCCTCCTGACTGTACTTCCTCTTCAGAGCACAGGCTTGAACTGCAGACTGAAGGACTTCTTTCCAGAAACTAGTTGGCAGCAATTTATCGTGTATGATGGTTCAGAATTTTCAGGAAGAATTTTTTAGAAAGAGGAAATTCACTGCTGTGTGTGTGTTTGGGGTGAAACTGGCAGATTTGGACCATACCTTCAGAATTGGGACTGGTGCCTCGAATGCCGTGGTCTTGTGTAGTGGGTCTGTCTCCCCAACTGGCTTGTGGTTGAGATGGGATATCTAGGCGGGGGGTAAAGGAGGCACTGGAACCAAGGGGAGGGTGAAGGTAAGGGTGGGTTCTGGACATCTTTCCATTTTAGTATTTTCAGACCTACCCTCAAAGGCCTAAATTGACCTTCCAAAAGGCATCTTTAAAATCCTGAATCTTTGGGGTGCCTGGGTGGCTCAGTCATTAAGCGTCTGCCTTCGGCTCAGGTCATGGTCCCACGGTCCTGGGATCGAGCCCCGCGTCAGGCTCCCTGCTCGGCGGGAAGCCTGCTTCTCCCTCTCGCACTCCCCCTGCTTGTGTTCCTTCTCTCGCTTTGTCTCTCTCTGTCAAATAAATAAATAAAATAAAAATAAAATAAAATAAAATAAAATAAAATCCTGAATCTTTCTGTCCAGGCATCCAGTCTCCACTTAGCGAGGTCCTTTTCTTATGTCTTTCAATAAAATTTTAGTTTTCTTCTTACAGATCTTGCTAATTTTTTGTTTAAATTATTCACAGATATCCCATAGTCTTCATTTAAGAAAATTAAATCTTCTTCTTCTTTTTTTTTTTTTAAAGATTTTATTTATTTCCTTGAGACAGAGAGAATGAGATACAGAGAGCATGAAAGGGAGGAGGGTCAGAGGGAGAAGCAGACTCCCCGCCGAGCAGGGAGCCCGATGCGGGACTCGATCCCGGGACTCCAGGATCATGACCTGAGCCGAAGGCAGTCGCTTAACCAACTGAGCCACCCAGGCGCCCGAAAATTAAATCTTCTAATTATGCCTGGTGTATAGAAAAGTCCTCATTTTTTAATGTGTTTATTCTTAGAGTTTTCCAATCGTGGATTCGCTGGGTGGCATGTTTTCTTTTAATGACACACAGTGGTAAGTATTCTTCCATGCGTATTTTCTGACACTTGACTTTGTTTGGTCTCAGGTAGTTTGTCCTTGAAGGACTGCAAGAAACTGTCTTCAATGGCTTCATTGGTGGCTTATGATGACTCGGAGTCAGAGGCTGAGACTGAGTCCGTGGGAAGTATTCATGCTGTCAGCCAGATGAAAGACACCTCTGATGTGGTCAAACCTCCTGGGCAGGATTTTGCATCTGAAGCCCCAGGTGTGACAGAAGGGGCAACACTGCCCACAAAGCATGGTTCTTGTGAAGACCCTGCTGGCCATTGTCTCCCACTGGTTCGGCTCTGGAGAAGTGACCCAGGATCTTGTCCTAGCCAGAGGCTACAGTGGCCCAGGATGGAGCCTGATGTCACCTTCCCCACAGATAAGCCTCCTCGACCTTCCCTGTGGACCAGCCACGCTCCAGCTGGCCATGTGCCCCTGGCAGCTGCCCGCTTTAGGCAGGTGAAACTCTCCTGGGGAACTTACAACTCCCCTGAACCATCCTTCTGTGCCCAAACCAAATCTGAAACCCCAGATAAAAGTGGCAACTCCCTTCAGAGGAAAAGGTGTGAGGACTGTATCGTGCCCTACACCCCGAAAAGACTACGACAGTCACAGGCATTAAGCACAGAAACTGGCAAGAATAAAGATGTGGAGGCCCAGGGTCCATCTGCAGGGCGTGCCCCGGCCCCTCTCTGTGTGGCCCCCAGAGTTTCTGAGTTTATTCAGCCATATTTGGACAGTCAGTATAAAGAAACCACAATTCCCAGAAAAGTGCTCTTCCACCTGAGAAGCCACAGGGGCCCTGTCAACAGCATTCAGTGGTGTCCAGTCTTTGCTAAGAGCCACATGCTTCTCTCAGTTTCCATGGATAAAACCTTCAAGGTAAGACTTGAGTGATGCTGCCTTTTCAGGGACTCTTAGAAGTAAACTGCTGGGGTGTTTTGTTTTTCACAACAGTGAGGTAGGGGTGCTGAATATCTCTGTTTGGGAATTTCTGTAATTCTCCCTGTTGCATTCAGGAGTGTGTTCTCAGTGACCCACCCTGGACTGTTGGTCCATTCTGTCCCCTCCCTGCTGACGCTGCCTTGCTTAGGCCACCAGAGAATGCTAGTCTTTATCCCTCATGGGGGCACTGAGGACGTGCAGACACACTGGAGCCCTGGGGGATGAGGTCACTGAGTGAGGGCAGTCAGAGGGAGAGGAAAGCAGGCTCAGAACAAATCCTGGGCCCCTGTGAGCCACGTGGAGTGTTGAGCCACGCCAGCTCTGTGCCGGGCTCTGTGTTGGATGCCATGCGAGCAGAGGTAGACAGACCTGATCCCTGGCTTCAGGGCATGTGGTGTGGTAGGGGCTGTGGACAAGAGGAGAGGCTCTCATAGCCCTGGGCTCAGGAACCGTGAACCCACTGGGAGGGACAGCAGCCCAGGCTGGAAGGGCTTGGTGAAGTCTTCCAGAAGGAGGGGAAGGTTCACTTGGTGCAGGGGCTGAGATGGGGCGGAAGGATGTTCTTGGCCATAAGCATGGGAAATATTGAGGGGCCTGATGGGGGGTGAGGGGCCCAAGGCTGCGGAAATAGGCAGGGCCCAGACCAGGAATGGCTGTGGATGCCCTGTGGAGGACTTCCGGTTCATACAGAAACTCTTTTCATTGTTACTTATTTATTTTAAAAGCTACTGAAGTCATACAGACTTGGAGTAAGCAGTCCCCACGTGCACAGGGGTGTCGCATAGCGCGTGTGTCATCCCTCCTGTAACCTGTCTCCAGCCCTTTGGGCTGTACTCTGTCCCTCCTCCTCACTCCTCAGCACCTAGCAACTCACCTGTATGTAGTAGGTGCCAAGTCAATGCGAGCTGAACCAAAGCTTCCTGGAAAGAACATGGCTTTGGAGTCGAAGGGACGTGGCTGCAGATCCAGCTTTGCTGTGGAGCAGCTGGTTAGCTGGCCCCACTCCGAGTCTGGTGTCTCATCTGTAAAGGGCATAATCGTAGTCATGTGGGAAAAACGCTTACAAAACCCCAGCACAGAGCTAGGTACCCCACAGGTGCTCGGTAAATGTCAGCTTACTCCGTCTGTTTTCCTTACAGTTCTGGAACTATCCTGCCCCGGACATTGTATTTGCAAGTTATGTTTTGGGCTTTTCTCCTAGGAGGCATTTTCTGAAATGAAGAAAGGAAGCCTAAATACGGTGAAGGCTTTGAAATGAGCTAAACTGTTGGGTATCATTTTTAAGTGGCCACTTTGAGTCCTGAATCGACTTGTCTGTGTTCTCTTCTGGCAAGGTTAATGGAGTTGTGCGGGGACAGTGCCATGTTCCACCTTTAGTGTGGAGCCTGGGGATTTGCACGCTGGGCTTCGGTGAGGGTGGGGGCTCAGGTCTGCTCAGGAGGCTTCTCGTGTCCATGGTGTGTACTGAAACATGCGTGGTTCAATCCCACAGTGCTGGGGCTTCTCCGCGCTCCTTCCTGAGTCTGCGCCCGTGGAGGGCCGAGTGGGGCCTGGGCCCTTGGGTCAGGAGCACGTCTGGAGGGTTTCTGGTGGGCCCGTGTGGGGCCTGTGTAGTGCCAGGCCGTGTCTGGCTGGCCCTGGATATGGGCTGGAGTTAGAGTGATCTGGGCCTCGGGGTCTGGCTTCATCCCCAACAGCTTTGTGACCCTGGGCAAGACACTTAACTTCTCAGATTCTGTTTCCTCCCTGATAAAACAAGCTGATGAGACCTACGGTTGGCACTTCTCAGGTGGGACAAGTGCCCAGGCGTGTGTGTCTGAAGCACCCAGTCTAATGCCAGGCACATGTTTTTGTGGGGGGTAGTGTGGTTACAGGTGGGCCACCTGAGGGGCATGGGCAGCACCTTTCTAGGGCCTTGCAGGGAGGGGGCCGTCTGGCAGATGTTGGCAGCACAGGCTGGAGGAGGAGGCGCCTTGCCAGGAGATGTCAAAGGACAGGCTGGGTTGCTGTGGGCAGAGACAGGTGGAGGGACGTAGGGCAGCAGGTATGCCCTAGTGGATGCCTGCCACCTGCCCGCCATCTGCAGGGTCGCGCCTCCTGATGGCGAGGGGCAGGCTGGGAGCCCTGTGAGGACTGGTTTGCACCCAGCATCAGGGAGGTGCTCTGTGGGCCCTGCTTGGATCACTTTTGCCCGCCAAGTTTAGGTTTCCTAAGCAGGGGCATCCCCGCTGTAGTATAGTTTTTAAACAGAGCACGTCTGAGTGAAGCCATTGATTTGGGTGTTGTGTGTGTTCAGTCGTGTAGTGGGTGTTTGTGGAGTAGATGAGTGTGCTAGGTGCTATGTACTGGGGATGCACGGACGTATCCTTGGAGGGGACCCTGCATCAGCCAACTAGCTGTGACACCTTGTGACCAGAAGGGGGCGCAGTTGGCCCAGCTTGGGAAGCTGCTCAGGCGCTCAGGCGGAAGGACTGCATAGGAAAGCCTTGCCTGGAGTGATTCACTGAGACCTGGGTCCTGGGCCGTTCGCTGTGGAACTGCCCTCAGTGGGGCCGGGTGCAGTTGCTGTGCCTGCCCTTCCGAGGAGGTGGTGTGTGTGCGTCAGGTGATGTGTGCACCGGCCTCTTGCTTGGCCTGGCAGCCTCCAGGGAGCCCTGTCCACTTCACTGTCTGTCCCTCATGGCGAGGCTGCGGAGGTGGCATTGGAGGTGGTCCAGGGACAGGGCGCGACTGCCGTCATGGCTGCTGGGGTCAGTGTCTCCTGACCTCCTCCTTCCTGTGGGGTCCTGAAAAAGCAGGGCTTTAATAAGCCATATATGCAAATGGTTGGGCCAGGATCCTCACTGCTCTAAGATATTTGACAGTTGGGACGCCTGGGTGGCTCAGTTGGTTAAGTGTCTGCCTTCGGCTTAGGTAATGATTGCGGGGTCCTGGGATTGAGTCCCGCATCGGGCTCCCTGCTGAGCGGGGAGCCTGCTTCTCCCTCTGCTTCTCTCCCTGCTTGTGCGCAAGATCTTTGACAGTTTTATTGACAGAGTTATTTGGCAAATTGATTTTGAGCACCTTTTCAGTGTGAAGAATGTGTGGCAGGGGCTGGAGGAGCTGGGATGGGCAAACTGATTGGGGACTAGGTGGGAGCAGGGCTGGGAACCGGGGAGGGAAGTCCTGGCTGAGGCCTCGGTTTCGCTGGGGCCTCAGGTGCATGTGTAGCCTGGTGTGCAGCTGGCAGCCCCAGGCAGGATGGTGTTCTTCCCCCTCCCTGGGGTCAGAGGGTGGTGACGCGGCAGATCTTGGGGGCCTATGAGGTGGAGGGGGCAGTGGGAGGCTTGTGGATGCTGAGTCTGGAGTGAGTATGGGGCTGTGGGCACCGGCAGGAGCCCTGGCTCCCTGTAGCCCAGTCCTGGGTAGAGAGCAGACGGTGCAGTGGGGAAAGAGCTAGAAGAGGTGGGTATGACAGGGCGCCCCCCCCCAACTCTGTGCTTCCTTCCTAGGATGCGTTTCCCCTTGTCTTTTGGTTAAACTCTGCCAGAGTGCCTTCTTGAGCCCCACTGCATCAGGAGGGAAGGAAGACCCTGGGGGCTGGGGTCACAGCACTTAGTTTGAATCCTCCCTCTGCGGCAGACTGGCTGTGTGATCTTGGGCAAGTTACTTCTCCGAACCTCAGCCGGTGTATGTATGGTGGACACGACTGTGCCTGCCTGGCTGGGTTTTTGTGGAGAAGAACCAGTGTTGGATGTGGACTCTCTGTGCGGTGCTTGGCACATAGTTGTCACTCACCGTGTGCTCACAGTTTTGCTCTCCCCAGGAGTCTCGTCCCTTCCTTACCATGAAGTGGCCTCTCATTCTGCCTGTGTAGCCATGAACTGTATCTGCCACACCTTGTAGATTTTGAGCCTCTTGAGGATGGAAACTGTGCCAGACCCATTTTTGTATTTTCCGTAGCACCTGGCACAAAGTTTTGTACATGCTAAGTGATCAGTAAAGATTAAAAAAATTTTTTTGGATTTTATTTCCAGCCTTTGGGAAAGGATGGTCTCTTAGGTGCATAGATTTTATTTGCCACTAGGGGGCACAGTAAGACTTAATATAAGCTCACTCAAGCTTCTAGAATGTGAAAGAATCCTTGATTCAAGGTAACATTTACTGAAATATGATTTCTTTTCTGATCAAGAGAAAAACAACACAATCCATCTGATTAATCTAAAGAGCGTGAAGTGCCATTTCCTTCATCTCCTTAAAATGTAGCTTTGGAATTCATAAATTTCAATTGGGTATATTACAGTGGAAAGATACTTATTTTAATATGTTCTAAATGTTCTGTGAGCTGTAAAATATGCTTATATTAGTTTTGAAAAATTTACAGCTGGAGAAATTAAGTAAAATAAAACAATGACTCATAACTCTGCACTGATGCTCTGTTTTCTTTCCTGATGATCCCTTCATGCCCCTGTCTGTAGCACGCATGTTTCTCACAGTTGTAATCGCAGCAAGGATACCCTTTTATCTACTCTTTTTATTTCCCTGTGTCCTCATTTGGCTCAACACGTTTGAATACCCACTGCATGTAAAGGTAGGATTCAGACTTTGAAGCCCTTGGAAAAAGTACAGACGTGGCCTGCTTCAACCAAACACAGGCGGCCCTCACCACCGGCCCCAGGTGCAGAGCCCTCTGCGAGGCACCGGGCACATTCTCACAAGCATCCGACGTGTTTCCTGCTTCCAGGGACCACGGTCCATGCATCAGAACTCAGAGTTCTGAAACACAGAAGGATTTTAAATAAAATGTATGAATGAGGTGCTGTTCATTTGTTTTACAAAATGGTTTGCTTTAGGAATTCTTTCAATAAGTCTTCCCTATAATACTTAAAAAAGACGAACCTTTTCATTTTTGATCATGAATGTAATAAAAGCTTATTGTGAAGAACTTTGAAGATGCA